GTGGACAGTGAGTTTTATTTTTTTTTTATTTACAGGCGAAAAAAATTATATCTAGCGTGACAGCTAGTATTTCTTTGGAACTTATCTTGGGACCAACAAAGCTACAAAAAAAATATACAGGGTGTTTCAGTTTATTGTTGCATAACTTTTCGATTCGATAGAACTTTTAAAATTAATGCATAAAGTCTATATAAACATCGGTCGAAAAATGCGTGGCTTCCGGAATACAGGATGTTTAAATTTACTTTCTAAAATAGTTTTTTTAAAATATTTCGAACATTATTTGATGTATAACAGTGAAAATTGGTATACAAGGGTTTTTTGGTACGACAAAGCGAACCATGGGCATAGTTTTACTGTAGCCGCTAGAGGGCGCTCTCTACTTTACCTGAAGTGTATTAAAATGACCGAAAATTTTTTCTTAGTGCAATTTTTTGCTTTTTGAATAAAAAAACTGATTCTTCGCACTTTTCTGCATAAAAAAGCTCTCCTGTGAGTTTTCGTTATAGTTAGCCGTTTTTGAGATATTTCGATTTTTAAGGTTCGATGCATTTTCAATTATTTATGATAAAATAACGTTAAAAAGTCAGTATCTCGATAATTTTAAGAATTAGGCTGTGCCTGCAAATATTTTTGAAATTGAAAGAATAAGTTTAAACGTCAATTAGTTGACAGTTAGTTTTGTTGTCTGTTGAAACCTGAAACGTTTTTTTGCAATTGTGAATGCACGAAATTTAGTTTCTTTTACCTGTTTGTTTTTGTAAGTTTTATAAAAATGCCATTTTTATTCTCCAATCAAGAGTTAGCGGATATTCATTTTGTGTATGGCTTTGTAAATGGAAACGCAGCAGAAACAGCCAGAGAATAATAAGATTTCCAAACAGACGACATCCAACTCGCTCGGTATTTGTAAGAGTGCATCGCCAAATAATTGAAAATGGTTTTGGAAATCCCCAAAGGGATCAAAACATAAATGTTCGTCAGCGCAGATTTACCCGTATGATTCTGTGTGAGTTTGATAGAGATCCGACCACAAGTGTTAGGAGAGTTTCTGGTGCCTTGGGAATTTCAGCAAGCCATGTTCCCCGTGTTTATAGAAATGACTATAGACGTCCTTACCATTTGCAACCTGTGCAAGGACTACAGCCAGGGGACGGAGAACGAAGAATCACATTTTGTCATTGGATTCTTGATAGAACTGATAATAATAGGGAGTTTTTAAGTAACGTTTCATGGACCGATGAGTCATGCTTCACTAGACGTGGAGTGGTACATTTTCATAATCAACATATTTGGTCGCATGAAAATCCGCATGAAGTTCGGGAAAGAAATTTTCAGCATGAATTTAGTGTGGATTGGTATCTACCGTAATCGACTATTTGGACACTACCTTTTGCCTGCAAGGTTAAATACTGCGACCTTCTTGGAATTTTTAAAGGCTGAACATGCACATATGTGGGATGATGTTATGTTAGATTTAAGAAGATTGGCCTGGTTCCAGCTTGATGGTTGTCCAGCTCATTATTCGAGAATAGTTAGAAACTGGCTGGACGAAAATTATCCAGAAAGATGGATCGGCCGTGGAGGACCAGTCGCCTGGCCTCCACGATCCCCTGACCTAAATCCATTAGATTTCTTTGTGTGGGGATTTCTAAAAGAAAAAGTGTACCAGACTCCCGTAACCACAAGAGAATCAGGACATGTGATGAAATAAGGCCTTATTTGAATAATGCTATACCACGTTCGATCATTCGTAGATGTGAATTGTGTATATGTATTGAACAATTGGGTTTAGATTTCGAGCAACTACTTTATATTTTGTATGTTTGACCTTACTATCCAATAGCATTTTAGTTGTAAATACCACTGGTCAACACTGGTTTTGCCACACGAACTTTGACAGCTAATTTTGTTTTATCAGTCTACCCTCATTATTACATGACAGCTGTCATATGTCTATTAGCTTCATATTTGTTGTGATACGGTAATACTCATAACTAGTACTACGGCAGTAAATTAACAGAAACGCTTACAAGTAAATCCTTATAAAAATATTTGTTGTTGAATTTGAACACTTTTTTGTGATTTATTAACCCTGTGAATATGTCGAGGAAGTGTAATAATGATCCTAACTCTTTTTGTTATGTCTGCGGAGAACTAACATTCAAAAAACAACGACGAAATTTTACGAATCTTGTGTTGGAGTGTTATCACCGATGTTTTGGTTTTTCTGTCGCCCATCAAGACAAATCCTGGGCCCCTCATGTCTGTTGCATAACGTGTGTGAAAAATTTAACTGACTGGAAGAAAGGTGCACGACCTATGCCGTTTGCTGTACCCATGATATGGACTGAACAGCGAGATCACGTTTCAGATTGCTATTTTTGTCTCACAGACATAAAAGGTATAAATTACAAGAAAAAAACCACAGTTATTTACCCTAACTTATCTTCGGCTATAAGACCAGTCTCTCATTGTAAAAAATTGCCAGAACTAATACCAGTTGCAAGTACGTCTGTTGAGAACAATTCACAACCGTCCACTTCAGGTGAATGTGTTGACGAGGACGATGACTTTGAGTTAAAAGGAATTGCAAACGAGCCACATTTGATAACCCAAGGAGACCTAAATGATTTGGTTCGGGATTTAAATTTGTCAAAAAAGCAGTCAGAACTATTAGGATCACGTTTAAAAGAATGGAATTTGCTACATCATAATACAAAAGTTAGCTATTTTCGAAACCCTGATCAACACTTCAGAACGTATTTTGCTCAGGATGGAGATTTGGTGTTTTGCAATAACATAAATGAGATTATGAAAATGTTGGACATAGATTTTGATCTCCCTCAGTGGCGTTTATTCATTGATTCTTCGAAAGCAAGTCTAAAAGCAGTGTTATTGCATAATGGAAATAAGCTTCCGTCTGTACCTCTGGCCCATGCTGCAAATATGAAAGAAACCTATGAAAATATGAAACTTTTACTTGGAAAAATAAATTACAGTACATATTCCTTCAAAATCTGCGGTGATCTTAAAATTGTTGCACTATTACTTGGACTTCAGCTGGGTTATACAAAGTTTTGCTGCTTTTTATGTGAATCGGATAGCCGAGACAGAACTAATCACTATATAAAAAAAACATGGCCTACGCGTGCATCGTTAGTTCCTGGGCAAAAACACGCAAAGTATTTACCCCTTGTACAGCCAAATAATGTGCTTCTATCACCATTGCATATCAAATTAGGATTAAAAAATTTTGTGAAGGCAATGGATCGCAATGGGAGTGGTTTTTGTATCTAAAAGAAAAATTCCCTAAAATAAGTGATGCAAAGATAAAAGAGGGTATTTTTGTTGGCCCTCAAATTAGGGAGTTAATAAAAGATTCAAGATTTGAAGAAAAATTAAGCGATTTAGAAACATCTGCATGGAAGGCTTTTAAAAATGTTGTTTCAAATTTTTTGGGTAACCACAAGGGTGACAGCTACAGAGAGTTGGTTAGCGAGCTATTATTGTCATATCAAGCATTGGGTTGCAACATGTCACTTAAGATCCATTTTTTAGACTCGCACCTGGATTTTTTTCCTGACAATTTAGGGGCTGTCAGCGACGAGCACGGTGAGAGGTTCCATCAGGACATTTCTAATATGGAAAAGCGGTACCAGGGCAAATGGAGCCCAAATATGTTAGCAGATTACTGCTGGACAATTAAAAGGGACCAACCAGAAGCTAAATATTCAAGAAAATCTTAGATTATTAAGTCATTTATAAAAAAAAGTAACTTTTGATTTACGAGATCTGTGTTTTTTCTTAATATTTTAAATTACTCAATAGAATAAAATCCTTGTCTAGCAAATTTTTTTAACTGTTTATTTTTTCTTACAATCACCAATTAAAGTAAAAGATATCAAAAAAGTCCGTGTGGCACGACAAAGTAAAAATTTTGTTGACCAGTGTAATTAATTTAACTTTTTAAAAATAATATTGGAAATCTAAACAAATTAATACTCTGTTTTTTTTGTGTTTATTTGGAGTTAGGAATTATTGTTGTGTTTAAAAACACAATATAAACGATCATCTTAATTACTTGTAATGCCCAAATCGAAAATGAAAAAAGAAATATTATTTTCCCATAAATAATTAAAAATGCATCGAACCTTAAAAATCGAAATATCTCAAAAACGGCTAACTATAACGAAAACTCACAGGAGAGCTTTTTTATGTTGAAAAGTGCGAAGAATCAGTTTTTTTATTCAGAAAGCAAAAAAATGCGCTGAGAAAATTTGTTCGGTCATTTTAATACACTACAGGTACAGTAGAGAGCGCCCTCTAGCGGCTACAGTAAAACTATGCCCATGGTTCGTTTTGTCGTACCAAAAAACCCTTGTATACCAATTTTCAATGTTATACATCAAATATTGTTCGAAATATTTAAAAAAAACTATTTTAGAAAGTAAATTTAAACACCCTGTATTCCGGAAGCCGCGCATTTTTCGACCCATGTTTATATAGACTTTATGCATTAATTTTAAAAGTTCTATCGAAAAGTTATGCAACAATAAACTGAAACACCCTGTATATGCATGATGTAGTTTTATTATTTTCAAAACTGGCTACTGTATCTTCCAACTTATCAAGAAAGACCCATATACGAGCACAAGGCCTGAACTTGCAGAAGGCGATTCGCGCGGAAGTCGCCCAAGATGTCGGAGATAGTCTTTCAAGAACGCCTCCAGCAATGCACGGTCACCACGCGACTGGTGTGATTTTCCGCACTTAAACGCTATTTCACTGTGAATAAATTTGTTTTCGAGTAAAAATTACCGATTTTGTGATTTTTCAAAAACCGTCTGACCTTTGTGCCGGACCCTGTACAATGACCTATTCAGGTAAGGCATCAATAAGCATCCAATAAATACTGTCAGAACAGATTTAAACAAGTAAATTAACAAACTAAAACAGCAATAGCATAAAATAATTTCAAATCAGTCATTGTGATTCACCTATTGTTCGATCTAGCAGATCTGGTATTGTATCTGGTGGAAGATGGACCGTCCAGGCGCGGCATTACAACCACCATAGACAGCAAGTTGATTCCAGAAGCGCAACCCGGACAATACCAGGCACCTTCTGGAACGTTGTCCAACGGTGGATCCAGGCAGTACATGTGGAATCCCTGGTCACAACCTAAATTTGATAAAAATGTCATCAGTATAATATTCAATTAACAAGATGTAAACGGTGTAATTCCCCTTCGCAGACACCCCTCATTTAAACGGACAGTTTCTCATGGTCCCGACCGACTCTCATATACAGGGTTATCCAAATTAAGTGTCCACCATTAGTAACTTTGTTATTAGTGAAAATACAAAGTTGTTTGAATTAGCAAACTAGTAGCATTTTTAACGCTGGTAAAAATGAGAAATAAAAAAAACAATTGAGAGTCGTTATTTTGATTTTTTTCAGTAAAATAACATTTTTTTAAATGGAAACCCCTGTATATTATATTTTTTTCTGTTAAAGCATCAAATTTTAAACAAAAAAGTTCATAATGACTTTTCCGCTAAAGTCAAAAATAAAGTCAAAATAACGATAAATATTTTTAATTATTTGCAGTATTATAATATTAAGACGGCTATGAAAACAACATGGCGTTCGCGATTTGACAGCATTAAGATAAGCGACAAATTGTTAAACTGGACATACTCGCAACTAGAAGGCTTTGGAAAACAATGATAAAATCAAATAATGTCAAACATTAGTGTAAATACTTGTTTATAAGCTTTATTGTGTCATTAATTTAAAGAAAAATGTTCTCCCATGAAGAAAAGTGTGATATGTTAGAATGCTATTTAGTGTGCAGAAAATCCTCCTTGAGAGCAAGAGAATACTACAGTGAATTATATCCCGCTCGCATTCAACCTATGAACGATATTTTCTGAGACTTTATCGAAAATTTAGGGGCAACGAAAATGTTTTTGCTAAAACAAGGGCAAAAAAAGAATTCATAATAAGCGAGGCCACGGAAATTGCAGTTATTGGATATTTTGAAGCTTATCGTGAGAATTCAATAGCAGATATTCTCAAGGACTCTAATTTCAGTTATGGTACTGTTCAAAGGATTTTAAAAAAATACAAATTTATTCCGTATAAGTACCGACCAGTTCAAACGCTTTTGGCAGGGGATCCAGAGAGAAGACTTGTTTTTTGCCATTGGTATCTTAGCTTCTGTCGCCAAAATGTAAATAACTTTCGTTACCTTTTATGGACAGATGAATCAAATTTTTCAAATTCTGGAATGTTTAATAGAAAAAACCACCATTATTGGTCAAGAGAAAATCTTTTGTTAGTACATCCAAGAGGCCCACAAGTCCGTTTCAGTTTCAACGTTTGGTGCGGTATAATTGGTTCAAAAATTGTTGGCCCGTTCTTTTATGAGGGAACCCTAACTGGTGAAAGATATGTGGAATTTATGTCAGAAATTCTGACTAATTTCTTAGACGAATTGGATCTTATAAGTAGACATCATCTGCATTTTCAGCAAGATGGCGCACCTGCCCACAACTCCAGAGGTACTTATCATTTTCTAAGTACTACTTTTAATGATCAGTGGATAGGAACAAATGGCCCAATTCAGTGGCCTCCCAGATCACCAGATCTAAACCCACTTGATTACTTCTTGTGGGGTTACTTAAAGAACCAAATTTACAAGCGAAGGTACGATAACCTTGACGCGTTAAAGACTGCAGTTAGGGAAAAGATAACCCAGATAGATGGTAGGACCATACTTAAGACAGTTCGAGCAGTTGAAAAACGTGCCCAAAAATGTATTGAAGAACAAGGTGGTGTTTTCGAGCATCTTCTTTAAAAAAAATTGTTATTGTATTTTGTAAGATTATAAGTTGATGTTGAAAATAAAGTTTGTCGATACAATTTAATTGTTTCAGATTGGAGGCCATAACTTCAACAATTTGTAACCTAGGAGAAAAGTTATTGTAAGCTTTTTTGTTTAAAATTTGATGCTTTAACAGAAAAAAATATAATATACCGGGGTTTCCATTTAAAAAAATGTTATTTTACTGAAAAAAATCAAAATAACGACTCTCAATTGTTTTTTTTTATTTCTCATTTTTACCAGCGTTAAAAATGCTACTAGTTTGCTAATTCAAACAACTTTGTATTTTCACTAATAACAAAGTTACTAATGGTGGACACTTAATTTGGATAACCCTGTATACTAAGTGACATATAAATCCGAACACCCAGTTTAAACGGTTTTATTTTAATAAAATTTTGTATAAGTACTTAATGAAGCATAATAAGTAAATGATAAAAATTTCAAAATGATTGCACTGCTTTAAAGCCCTTTGACCCTTTAATAATGTGTGGATGCACCCTGATGTGCTACGCATTCTCCAACGCGCCTAGGCATGCTTCTGATCAGGTGGTCAATGTCCTCCTGTGGTATCTCATTCCAGGCAACCACCAACTCCTCTCGAAGTGCTTCTACAGTCTGAGGAGGACGTTGCAAATTGAGCGATCTCCTACCCATCATATCCCACACGTGCTCAATTGGGGATAAGTCGGGAGATCTTGGTGGCCATGGTAACAATGTGACATCATTATGTTGAAAGAAGTCTAATGTGACTCTTGCAACATGTGGTCGGGCATTATCTTGTTGGAAAGTTGGATCTGCCAGGGTGTCAAGATAGGGTAAAAGATGGGGTTCTAGAACTTCGTGGATATAACGCTGCGCGTTCATGTTACCTCTGATGAAGATTAAAGGTGACCTGGAACTATAAGCTATAGCACCCCAAACCATAACTCCAACAGTGTGATGAACATGTCTTTCAACAAAAAACTGTGGATTCCTCGTTTCACCACGTCGCCTTCTAACCCTGGCACGACCATCGTGCATGCCTAAACAAAATCGAGACTCGTCACTAAAGACAATACTGTTCCATTCCTGATCCCAGAGTGACCGTTGTCTGCACCACTCAAGGCGATTACGTCGGAGGTGGAGTGGAAAAGGGGATTTCACGTCTAAAAAAATTCGTAGAAAAGAATGGCGACTGTGGAGAAACATAGCTCAAGGTTCAACGTTTCCAATGGTGAATTCGTTTTTTCAAATAAAAAATTCCTTGTGCCTCAAAAAAATGTGGGAACCTCATTTTCGAAACAACCTTCATACAAATTATTTTGAAATTTTATTAATAAGCATGTCTTATTATTTATATTCTACAGTCTATTAACTAAAGTTTTGCATACCATCACAAAGTAACATTCTGTCTTCATTATCCCGAGACCCACAGATCTCGCAGAAAGTTGGATCATCGATAATATTTTCAAAGTCCTCCAAGTTAGGTTTTTCTATAGGTATTCTCCTGGTGATTTCTCCGTTCAAATTTCTCCTAGCTAAAATAATGGTAAACTCTTGCCTATCGACCGGACATGTATTCATGTTCTTTGACCATTCCTGTAGACATTCTAGGCAGAACATGTGGTCACAAGATTCAGGAGTGCCAACCTCTTGGTTCTTTAAAACGGAAATACAAAATCAATATGACTTGGAACAACTTTTAAAAAGTATCGATGCTATTGTAGAAAACTTTACCTTAAAACGGAGTAAGCAAATGGGACACTTGTCCGAAGTGCCATTGCTTGAATCTGAGTCACAGCTATCTTGCATTGCTGTTGTGTTGTTAGAAACAGCCCGAGTATTCTGTTCGTTGTCAGTTTCCCACTCACTGCTTGATCCAAAACCATTGTCAGAGTCTTCTGAGTCACTTTCCAGTTTTCTAGGCCCCCCTGTTCTTCTGACAAATGAGGAATCTGAGCTGTCATCTGAATCTGATTCTACTACTTTCTGTAAAAAAATCAAATCGGTTTTCAGTACCAGTCCCAGAAGTCGTCGTCAAGTCGGAAACCAGGCCAAGTCATAATCGTCATCAGAAAAATATAAAAAATCTAGGCCATGCAATTTTCAAATTATAGGCTTTAAAGAAAATCGGCCCTTTTAGAATTCTTTAAGCTTTTGATTGCGTCTCGAACATCATTGAATGAAACAGTTCGGAGGTTGAAATGTAGTGTATCACTAGTCTGTATAAAATCTTTGAAGTTCGATTGGGTAGCTGGAATTTCAGCAATGCTGACGAAGAAATTCGCGTTGAGAGTAGACGAATGGGATTTTGATGATTGCACACCATTGGCTTTAATCACATTCCACATAGCTGCTTGTTTATTTGAAGCTCTACATATATATTTATCATGGGCATTTTCTTCTTAATTCTGATTTCTGATCGGTACTTAGATTTGAATAGATTAATCTCCTTTAATACTACCTGAGGATTATCTTCATTAATTTGTATTATTAGTATTTTGTGGCGACAATCCTCTGATACCAAAGTAGATTTGATTGGCAAGCACTCAGCGACATTATTTGTTAAGATGTTTATGAATCGTTCGAGTTTGGTGGTCAGTGATGAACCAATATCAGACAAAAAGATCCAGTCGACTGTTTCAATTTTACTGTATAATTTGAAAAGACCTTCATCAGTGACAGGCCTGTAGTTTATTCTCTTCCTAACAGGTTTTAAAGTTTTCAAATTAAAATGAAATGCAATACCTAAATGGTCAGAAAAACATTTATCAAAGGCTTCTACAACTATGATGATCCAGTCGGCAACCAATCCAATTTGAGCAAAATATTGAAATTATACTAAGTGACATATAAATCCGAACACCCAGTTTAAATGGTTTTATTTTAATAAAATTTTGTATAAGTACTTAATGAAGCATAATAAGTAAATGATAAAAATTTCAAAATGATTGCACTGCTTTAAAGCCCTTTGACCTTTAATAATGTGTGGATGCACCCTGATGTGCTACGCATTCTCCAACGCGCCTAGGCATGCTTCTGATCAGGTGGTCAATGTCCTCCTGTGGTATCTCATTCCAGGCAACCACCAACTCCTCTCGAAGTGCTTCTAGACTCTGAGGAGGACGTTGCAAATTGAGCAATCTCCTACCCATCATATCCCACACGTGTTCAATTGGGGATAAGTCGGGAGATCTTGGTGACCATGGTAACAATGTGACATCATTATGTTGAAAGAAGTCTATTGTGACTCTTGCAACGTGTGGTCGGGCATTATCTTGTTGGAAAGTTGGATCTGCCAGGGTGTCAAGATAGGGTAAAAGATGGGGTTCTAGAACTTCGTGGATATAACGCTGCGCGTTCATGTTACCTCTGATGAAGATTAAAGGTGACCTGGAACCATAAGCTATAGCACCCCAAACCATAACTCCAACAGTGTGATGAACATGTCTTTCAACAAAAAACTGTGGATTCCTCCTTTCACCACGTCGCCTTCTAACCCTGGCACGACCATCGTGCATGCCTAAACAAAATCGAGACTCGTCACTAAAGACAATACTGTTCCATTCCTGATCCCAGAGTGACCGTTGTCTGCACCACTCAAGGCGATTACGTCGGTGTTCTCGAGTTAAAGGGAGCACCCAGTGTGGCCGGTATGAAAACAAGCCAAAACTTCTCATTCGTCGGTAAACACTTCGCATGCCAATAGGTCTTCCGTGTTCTGCAAACCATTCATTTGCAATGAACCTGGTAGTGGAGAAACGGTCCCTTAAGGCCAATAATCTTAGGCGGCGATCTTCACGGTCTGTTGTTCTACGGCGGCGTCCAGTGCCCCTTGTTCTTTGCGTACGGCCTTCTCGAAGCCATGCCTGACAACACCTAACCACAGTGTCTACACTTCTTTGCACTCTAACTGCAATTGCCCGAAAAGAAAGTCCAGCTTCCCGAAGTCCCACTATACGGCCCCTATCAAACTCACTAAGTTGACGAAATCGTACAGGTCTCCGTACTCTAGGCATCGTAACCGATCGTAAAGGATGCCAAGAACCAAAATCCGCCAACGTTGATTCTTTACTGCGGCTGAAATATTCATTTTTAGAGCGTTAGTGAATTAAAAAAAAGCAGTATAAAAACCGGAATGTCCAACTGATGAGGCTGAAAATTTTTTCACTTGTTATTTACAGTAAGATAAATACATTCACCAACTTTTATTAAAATAAAACCATTTAAACTGGGTGTTCGGATTTATATGTCACTTAGTATATCAAACTTCTCTCTTGAAATAAATCAAACCAAAATACAAATGAAGCGCCAGCCAGTGGACAGACAGCGAAAGATAAAAAGTAATGGTAGTATATTTCAATCTATTTTTGATCAATCGCTTCCCATGAAAACAGTAAAAGTGACAAAAAGGCTCCCTAACCCAAATCATAATATTAAGGAATGTAACTCTTCTGAGTTTTTAGACCATGTGCAAGAGTGTATGCCAGTAGAATATGTTACTGCTCCAGATATAGCAGAACTGGGCATGATGATGGCATTCCAGCTAGTATTTTAAAATATTGCTTAGTAGTAATTCTGGAACCTTTGGTTCACATAACAAACAACTCACTTAAGTACAGTATTTTCCCTGAAAAACCTAAATTAGCTATAATTATACCTATATATAAAAAAGGAGATCCTAGTGACTTGCTAATTTATAGGCCAAAAGTGAGTTAGTGATGTATTCAAGAATCATATGATATGTGTAACAACTTAATTGCAGAGTCACAGCATGGGTTTGTAAAAGGAAAATCCATCAACACGGCGATCTATTCTTTCAGCCACAACATCATAGAATGCCTTGAAAATAATATATCGCTGGGTCTGTTTTTTGATCCCTCCAAAGCTTATGATTGTGTGGATCATTCTCTACTATTGAATAAACTCGAGGCATACTGGATAAGGGTAAGTGCTTGCAACTGGATTAAGTCTTATCTGACAGACCATAAGCAAAGAGTTTTCATTACAAAGAATGAAATATAAGCCGTTTCATTACAGTTAATGGTAGAAAGAGGTATTCCACAAGGTAGCATCTTAGGACCTCTCCTCTTTTTGATTTTTGTGAACGATCTGTGTGCTAGTATTACAAGCCCAAATAATGTATGCACAATCCAATATGCTGATGACACTAGTGTACTAGCCGCTGGCCAAGATTTCAACCATTTAGCTGATAGTACTTTGAGCCTCTTCGAGAAAGCGTTTTCATGGTAATGCTCGTAATGGATTATCTCTGAATACCTCAAAAACAAACATCACCTTAGCAGAAAGAATAGAAGTCCCTCTGACAGACTGTGGAAAATTCTTGGGAGTTCATATTGACCAAGCACTTTTCTGGGCTAAACATATAGAACATCTAGAAAAAAGGTTAAACAATGCATGTTATAGTATTAGAGTACTAAGCAAGTACCTAGACCTCAAGACACTAAAAATGGTATATTACGCGAATTTTGAGTTCATTGTACGTTTTCGAATAATTTTTTTCGGACATAGTAGCCATACCAATAGGATCTTTCTAGTGCAAAAGCAGAGGAAAATTTAAGAGTAATAAAATTTTAACTGTAGCCGCAATATATACTAAGTGACATATAAATCGAACACCCAGTTTAAATGGTTTTATTTTAATAAAAGTTGCTGAATGTATTTATCTTACTGTAAATAACAAGTGAAAAAATGTTCAGCCTTATCAGTTGGACATTCCGGTTTTTCTACTGCTTTTTTTTTTAATTCACTAACGCTCTAAAAATGAATATTTCAGCCGCAGTAAAGAATCAACGTTGGCGGATTTTGGTTCTTGACATCCTTTACGATCGGTTACGATGCCTAGAGTACGGAGACCTGTACGATTTCGTCAACTTAGTGAGTTTGATAGGGGCCGTATAGTGGGACTTCGGGAAGCTGGACTTTCTTTTCGGGCAATTGCAGTTAGAGTGCAAAGAAGTGTAGACGCAGTGGTTGGGTGTTGTCAGGCATGACTTCGAGAAGGCCGTACGCAAAGTGCAAGGGGCACTGGACGCCGCCGTAGAACAACAGACCGTGAAGATCGCCGCCTAAGATTATTGGCCTTAAGCGACCGTTTCTCCACTACCAGGTCCATTGCAAATGAATGGTTTGCAGAACACGGAAGACCTATTGGCATGCGAAGTATTTACCGACGAATGAGAAGTTTTGGCTTGTTTTCATACCGGCCACACTGGGTCCTCCCTTTAACTCGAGAACACCAACTTAATCGCCTTGAGTGGTGCAGAAAACGGTCACTCTGGGATAGTGACGAGTCTCATTTTTGTTTAGGCATGCACGATGGTCGTGCCAGGGTTAGAAGGCGACGTGGTGAAAGGAGGAATCCACAGTTTTTTGTTGAAAGACATGTTCATCACACTGTTGGAGTTATGGTTTGGGGTGCTATAGCTTATGGTTCCAGGTCACCTTTAATCTTCATCAGAGGTAACATGAACGCGCAGCGTTATATCCACGAAGTTCTAGAACCCCATCTTTTGCCCTATCTTGACACCCTGGCAGATCCAACTTTCCAACAAGATAATGCCCGACCACATGTTGCAAGAATCACAATAGACTTCTTTCAATATAATGATGTCACATTGTTGCCATGGCCACCAAGATCTCCCGACATATCCCCAATTGAGCACGTGTGGGATATGATGGGTAGGAGATTGCTCAATTTGCAACGTCCTCCTCAGACTCTAGAAGCACTTCGAGAGGAGTTGGTGGTTGCCTGGAATGAGATAGCACAGGAGGACATTGACCACCTGATCAGAAGCATGCCTAGGCACGTTGGAGAATGCATAGCACATCAGGGTGCATCCACACATTATTAAAGGTCAAAGGGCTTTAAAGCAGTGCAATCATTTTGAAATTTTTATCATTTACTTATTATGCTTCATTAAGTACTTATACAAAATTTTATTAAAATAAAACCATTTAAACTGGGTGTTCGGATTTATATGTCACTTAGCATATATTCAAGAGATTCCAATTTTTACATTTAAAAATATTGACAATTTTATCGGTAACCCACGAAGTGACTATAATACAAGAAATAGAAATATAAATCTTCTGTATCCAGTCCATCATCTCGCGGTTACTGAAAAAATGTCCATTATAGCTGCACTAAAATATATAATAAGTTACCACAAGAAATTAAAACGTTGGCAGATATTAAAAGAGTATTTATCAATTGTTAATGTACTTAGGACCATATGATATGTTATATGTTTTGAATCTTTGTTTTTTCTGTCTTGATTACACGGTGACATATATTTCACCTAACAGTGTAATCATGCACTGTTATTTTGAAATTAAGATTTATTACTATTATATTATTATTATTGTGTCTAACTACTGGAATGAACAAATTTTCATAGCATTTCAACAACAAGCCACTTACATTTTCCCGCCATTTTTTGACTAGACTGAGAAATAAAATTTCACGTTTCTATTTCAATCAGGAATTGATACCAAGATAAAAATATATAGTAATATAGTGAAGGCCGGTTAAAGGAGATAGTCGAAGCATGAAAAATGTTGGGAAATAGCTTGAAATATGTAAGCAATATGTAAGTACAAAATTGACAGGGCAAGGCAGGATTAAAAGAAAAAATTAGTATCTTGTTCATTTATATCTAGTTTGATTATATTTTCAATTAAAATATTTATATTAGATGGACTCAGTATGAGGGTTTAATTTCTTTTCAACAATTGGAAACTATCTGGACTTCTAACAGTACCTTTTGTCTAAGTGCAGGCAAAATAGTACCTTTTCAATAAATATTTTTTTTATTAAAATTATAGGAAAATCTATAAGCAATGTATTTGGTATTGGCAAAAAGTTCACCTCCAAAAGCAATAGTTGTGTTATCTTGATCACAAAATTTGTTATTACACTTTGTATTCTACTTTTGTCTAAACTATCTGATCGTTGAGATATTCACCTTGGTAGACAAATGAGCCAAAAGTGTGCTCTAAAACCATGCAATTTTGACAAGAAACAATGCAATGTGAATGCTTGACTCCTAATCTATTCAAATTTGTTGTTCCACGCCGATTTGAGAACCAGCACATTGCGAACATGCCCACAATTGTCCTTTGTTTATCATCTAGGCTTCTGCAAAACTTCTGGTCTTTATTTTCCTCAAAACTGTGATTAAAACATCATTATCAGACCTGTTTCCAACCACTGTCAAAACATTTTGTCATTTGTGTGTCAACCCTAACCACTTGCCAAAACAATTTGCCTTCTTATAAACATCATTATTTTTATTTACCTCATATAAAATAATTGACTTAAATGTAAAAAAAAATGACTGGTAATGTTTCAATATTCAGTATTTGTAATTGCCAAAAATCTATACTTTCAAAATTCTGAATAAAAGATGTTAATGTTGCAGAAAAGAAGGCTTATTCGTTACAACATTCAAAACTAAGGCTTCTGGATATACTTACATGATACATATTAACAAAATGCATGGGGGCCATTCACCTTTTCATGGAGTATTTTATAATGTACACTATAAGAGGTACATAATGATATATAAAAATGTACTGGATATGCCCAAAACTATGAAAATAGATAAACACAAGCTGTTAAATTTGAAAAACCACAATATAAGATTACACCTGTTCTAGCCCTACAGCTACACCTACAATGTAATATCTTAAAATATTGATTTTCAATACTGTGATCCTTGAATTGATCCCGAAGCTTATTGAAAATCTATGCAAATCGTCTTGAACATCATATAAAGACGATGCCTTACCGCAATTTTTCGTCTACGCATCTTCACGATTGAGCTGCCACTATCATCCGAGTCCTCGGAAGAATCCGAAATAACATTGTTGGTCATCTGTTGCCTTGCCTTGCGTACCGCTCTCGATCTGGAGGAATTACCTACGATGGGGCTCCCGCTGGAGGTGCTTTCCGGGCTGTCTTCGAGCTGTCGGGGTTTTCTTTTACGTTTACACTGCGGTTCGGCATCGCTATCGTCACTGCTCATTTTCAATGGTTTTTTGCGAAGCTTATCGTTCTAACGTGCCCTTATGTTCGACTTTGAAGTACCTTTTGGCGAAGTGTGGGTAGAAAAAGTGCTTTTTAATGGTATTATTGAATTTGTTGATAATCGTCTGAACACTGAGCTTCTACAAGGCAGGAAGAAGCCATTTTTTATTTGACATTTTGCAGCTACGAACCGAGATCAACGTCACGATCTACGAAAAGTTTCGCGCAACGCGCAAGCCTCACCAAGCTACGATTGACAAGATGGCGGAGCAACATTGCCGGTGCCAGCAAGAAATCCTGAAACTTAATAAATTTTGGGAGTGGTTGCGGTACCGAGACTATAGACATTCCCGCAGAGGTATTACGTATCTTGAAAAATGATATGTCGTTTTTTTTGACATATAGGTTCTTGTCACATTGTGTAGGTTTGTCTGCAAGATGTCAACTTAGAACTAGCTATTGTTCACTTGATATGAATCAAATCCAAGCGAATTACCAAAATTTCTGTGTTATGTGCCGCGGTTATAATATGGTTCAAGATGACACACGGGTTGATGACGTCAGTTACACGAATCGCTTGAACGCGTTGGTTTTAACCGCGGTTTTGTTGCAAGTTGTTTATTTTAGAGAAGCGCGTATAATCTCTGATTATTTTTATTATCGTTTAATAATCTGTGCTTTTTCGTCTACAACTGGATAGGGAAAGTTTAAATAAAAAACCTTTCATAATATTCATGGGAGAAATGTTTTTTTCAGTTTTTTTTAATGATGGAACCATGGCTTTGTAGCTATGATAACTTTCAATTCTCTAAATTTTTCCGCATGTCAAAGAAAACATTTATTGATTCAGCAGAAATTATGAAAAAAGAAATTAGCAAAACCGTATACACGTGGATATCATCTAGTGAGTTTATATGGCCATATTTTAATATTCTTGTGGTATATGGCTACACAGGATACTTTGTTAAGCATAGGAACTACATTTAAAGTGTTCCCAACAACCGTAATGAGTATAACTAATAAGGTGCTCCACTTTATGGTAAAACTGAAGTCAGCCTGTATCATTTTTCTCAAAAATGAAGTTGAAGTACAATAACAATATCCAATACCCGGCAAAATTCTAGCTTGTCACATTTCAAATAATAACCAGAAATATAAAACTACTCTTGAGTTGGGTAAATACCACAATTTTGCGGTGATAACTATGACATATAACAGCTGATTCGTGACGTCACGGATCTTATAACCAAAGTGATAACTACACTCGCTTGAACGGATCGGTAAATACCAACCCAAAATGGTAAATACTATTTCTATTTGGTTATCCGCTTGAATTTGATTATAGGTTCTTGTCACATTGTGTAGGTTTTTCTGCAAGATGTCAACTTAGAACTAGCTATTGAATAAAAAAAAGATTGCTCATTGAATACAGATTTCAGAGGACACCACACGGACTATTTGGAATAGAAAAAACTGATACCTGCTTTTGTAAGTGACTGACACACACTACAATGTAATTATTGGATTTCAATTCAAGTTTCATTGGTTACCGATCAGTGACATGGTAAATAGTACAAAGCTACATTATTATTACCAGCTCCTGATATGATTTTATGTAACTTACTGAAATTCGGACTCGAGTCGTGAAGTAGGGGTATACAGGGTGACTTTGAAGTTGAGTCATTAATTTTCAGATAATGATTGTAGAAGGAAGATAAACCAAAATATGTGTGTAAAAATAAAAAAAAACGATACCTTGTTTTATAAAGTATCCTCCCGACAATTTTTCCACTGCGGACCTGTATTTGTTCGTGCGGTCTTGGAGCACCGGCATACTCTCCTCTGTGAGGTCTTAAGTCACCTGATTCACGAGCCCTTTGTACTACATTAACAAAGGCACGAGGGGTTGGTTGCACTCGATTAAATAAGAATCATGTCCACAAGTTCACAAGTTCAGCATTTTCGTAAACACGTGCCATTTTTTATTTCGTTTGAGCCACGCAACAAAGACCACTATTCACTCACGCGTTACCGACTGAAACATTGACTGACATCGTGATAAACGTTTCAAATTCTTTCGCTTTTTTGTTTCCGATGCGATGAACCGATAAGGCGGATTATATCCGTTGTCGCCAAACACGAGCACATAATATTATTATTGAGACAGGGCGGTACTCAAACTTCTGAAGGGCTATAACTTTGTTAATTTAATTTTACCAGAAAAATGTTAAAGGAAAAAAACATTTCTTCTGATCAGATCTACTCACTGTTAAAATAAATGACTCAACTTCGAAGTCACCCTGTATATAGTTGTCTATCTTTAGGTAGAATACGTTAATGCAAATATTTTTCAGTTCATTATACACTACCTAAGACTTTTTAAATGCTGATCTGGCAACACCGAACTTTTCGTAGCCGTCACCGTAGCAATCTGGAAGAATCAAAAGTTTGCTTCCTTTTTGACGTTGGTGAATCTTTAGCCGATCGTTTCATAAACATTTCCCCAAAATGGGTCGTATGCACGCGCCTGGGTAAATATTTCCATTAAATATCTAACCTTTTGACAAAATTAGCCCGCAATAGCTATAGTTTTTCATTCTACCAAGCTTTGAAAGATAAAGTATCGTAAACTTGAGGTTATGTCACCTCGTGTTCCTCACATTTTCCAGTCTGTTTATTCGAATTTTCAATATTTTCATTCTTTTGCAGCAAAGGTATCGCCGATTCGGCTTTGCCCTACAGACGAAGTGTCCCAACATGGTTAAAAGTAACTACAGAGGAGGTCAAGGACCATATTTACAAACTTGGCAAAAAGGGCCTGACACCATCACAGATCGGTAGGTACTGCTTTAACATTGGAAAAATGACTCTCTAAATCAGACCAAAACGTGGAAATATTTATAAAATTCCGTGTTTTCAGGTGTCATCTTGAGGGATTCCCATGGAGTAGCCCAAGTTAGGTTCCTCTCGGGCAACAAGATCCTGCGTATCATGAAAGCAATGGGACTGGCTCCTGACCTACCGGAAGACCTGTACTACTTGATCAAGAAGGCTGTAGCGATTAGGAAGCATTTGGAACGTAACAGGAAAGACAAGGACAGCAAATTCCGTCTCATCTTGGTCGAGTCACGTATCCACCGTTTGGCTAGGTATTATAAGACTAAGAATGTGTTGGCACCTAACTGGAAGTATGAGTCTAGCACGGCATCCGCCCTGGTGGCTTAATTTTTTATACGGTTAAGATAAATAAAATGTGAAATGTAACACTGATTTTCATTTTATAAACACTTTATTTTCCTGAAGTAAAATGAAGCCCAAAAAGTTCATATAATCATTGGTCTTAAAATGCCCCCTTACTAAGATGTGTGGAATAATTTCTTAATGAGTTAATTGTACATTTATTTCTAATTATAATCACAGTACAACTCTTGTAACAGTTACAAAAAATATACATAAGGTATAAAGAGAAACAAAGATGAAAAGCTGCAGGTATTCAGTCTTTTACACTATGAGGCTTTATATTAACTAATTGCCGTCTGATCAGTTTAAAAATGTTCATGTTGTTAATCAAATTTAATATGTTTGGCAGGCAGAAAAATATGAGACATGCGTAATATGGAGTCCTTTCATTTAAAGTTAGTCTATGCCCAGGGTAATTTAAATTTCTTGTGTTGTGGATATAATACACTCAGTGGCGTAGCAAGGGGGGGGCAGTCTGCATGGGGTGACACCCACCTAGGGGGACTGATCTTTAAAAACAATGTACAAACATAAAAAAGATGGACTGGTTGCATTGCAAAAAAAACTGTTGACCAAACTGCTAAAAAAATAGAGGCACTTCGTCTTTATATCGAGGGAAAAACGGGTATTTTGGTAGAGCCAATAGATATTGCTACAAAAAAATCAGACAGAAAGGCCATTTCGTCGTAAAAAACGGGTGGTTGGTGAGATGGCCAGTGATGCAGGACACGCACTGAAAGAAGAACTTGAAAAAGATTTGTTGGAATGTCTTGAGCGATTCAGAGTTGAACTCGAGAGAAGATCGAAGTCTCTTCAAGACCTAGCTTGATTCTTCGAGATCTTACAAAGAAATATTTTGCTTTTGGCGAATATTGAAGAACTGAAATTAGCTACGTACATCCAAATTTACTGAGTTTTATCATGAGGTCTCAGAAACAGAATTACTTGCGGAGATACCAAGATGCGAAGACACTAAAAAGCCGCTCATGTTACAGATTCTGATTGGGTACATCTAGAAGCTTACTGTAGAATGGGATTTTACAGAATCTCTTCGAAATCTTATGATTGCACCAAAATTATTCAAGATGGTTTGTCAGTAGCTCCATGTGAAAGGAGTTTCAGTTAACTAAAATTAATAAAAAACTATTTGCGGGCAACAGTGACCCAATCGCGGCTTAGCAATCTTAGCATATTAGCCATCGAACACGAGACAATACAAAATATACTAAGTGACATATAAATCCGAACACTCAGTTTAAATGGTTTTATTTTAATAAAAGTTGGTGAATGTATTTATCTTACTGTAAATAACAAGTGAAAAAAATGTCAGCCTTATCAGTTGGACATTCCGGTTTTTATACTGCTTTTTTTTAATTCACTAACGCTCTAAAAATGAATATTTCAGCCGCAGTAAAGAATCAACGTTGGCGGATTTTGGTTCTTGACATCCTTTACGATCGGTTACGATGCCTAGAGTACGGAGACTTGTACGATTTCGTCAACTTAGTGAGTTTGATAGGGGCCGTATAGTGGGACTTCGGGAAGCTGGACTTTCTTTTCGGGCAATTGCAGTTAGAGTGCAAAGAAGTGTAGACACTGTGGTTAGTGTTGTCAGGCATGGCTTCGAGAAGGCCGTACGCAAAGAGCAAGGGGCACTCGACGCCGCCGTAGAACAACAGACCGTGAAGATCGCCGCCTAAGATTATTGGCCTTAAGGGACCGTTTCTCCACTACCAAGTCCATTGCAAATGAATGGTTTGCAGAACACGGAAGACCTATTGGCATGCGAAGTGTTTACCGACGAATGAGAAGTTTCGGCTTGTTTTCATACCGGCCACACTGGGTCCTCCCTTTAACTCGAAAACACCGACGAAATCGCCTTGAGTGGTGCAGACAACGGTCACTCTGGGATCAGGAATGGAACAGTATTGTGTTTAGTGACGAGTCTCGATTTTGTTTAGGCATGCACGATGGTCGTGCTAGGGTTAGAAGGCGACGTGGTGAAAGGAGGAATCCACAGTTTTTTGTTGAAAGACATGTTCATCACACTGTTGGAGTTATGGTTTGGGGTGCTATAGCTTATGGTTCCAGGTCACCTTTAATCTTCATCAGAGGTAACATGAACGCGCAGCGTTATATCCACGAAGTTCTAGAGCCCCATCTTTTACTTACTCTTTTACTTTCCAACAAGATAATGCCCGACCACATGTTGCAAGAGTCACAATAGACTTCTTTCAACATAATGATGTCACATTGTTACCATGGCCACCAAGATCTCCCGACTTATCCCCAATTGAGCACGTGTGGGATATGATGGGTAGGAGATTGCTCAATTTGCAACGTCCTCCTCAGACTCTAGAAGCACTTCGAGAGAAGTTGGTGGTTGCCTGGAGTGAGATACCACAGGAGGACATTGACCACCTGATCAGAAGCATGCCTAAGCGCGTTGGAGAATGCGTAGCACATCAGGGTGTATCCACACATTTTTAAAGGTCAAAGGGCTTTAAGCAGTGCAATCATTTTGAAATTTTTATCATTTACTTATTATGCTTCATTAAGTAGTACTTATACAAAATTTTATTAAAATAAAACCATTTAAACTGGGTGTCCGGATTTATATGTCACTTAGTATTGATCTTTCTGATGATACATATTATTCAAGAAAATTGAGAGATGTTATTGATCGAAATGGACTTTACCAACTAGTGCAACAATCTACAAGAATTACATCACAAAGTGCAAGAAAAATAGATCTTATAATTACTAATGACAATCAAATTGTACATAATGTGCACTACACACCAAAAATAGCTGACCATTCCATTATAACAATCAACATCACAGAAGTTTCAACATATGAAAAGAGGATTTCTTTTCGTGATACCAAAAACTTTAATGAATTGCAGTTCCAGCTGGACTTACTTGATTGCAATTTGCCCAAAGATTTATACATCCTAGACGACAAGGCAAATTTCTTGGTGAAAACCCTCACTGAAATAGTTGATTCAGATGCTCCTATAGTGGTGAAAGAAATAAATTGTAAATGGGGAAATAAGATGTGGTGGACAGTTGAACTGGACAATATCATAACAGAAAGAGACAGGAGGTACAAAAGAGCAATAATTACACAAGCAGAGGATGACTGGGAATTATACAAAGAGCAAAGAAATTTAGCAGTTAAAAAAATAAGAGAACAAAAGAGGTACTTTTACCAAGAAAAAATTGATGAATCGAGAGGAGACTCTAGAGAAATGTGGAAAACCTTGAAGAGTATAATTGGTTCTAGGAGCAAGTTTAAGGCAATAGATGGTATCATGTTTGATGGCAAACTGATAACAGACAGTCTCGAAATCGCCAATAGTTTCAATCACTTCTATATAGAGAGCATAAATGAGCTAAGTACTATACCTGATCCAACAGAATGTGACAGAATGCTTGACAGTATAGTAACACCGTCTAAAAAATTCACAGATTTCAAGATATTACAGATATCAGAACTTAGGAAAATTGTGAATGTTCTGAAAAACAGAAAAAAGTAGCACTGATGGAATAAACGCAAAGATATTGAAGCTCTCATTTGAAGCCATTGGCAATCGTTTCTTAGATGTAATAAACCAAAGTTTACAAACTGGGTCATTTCCAAGTGAATGGAAAATGTCAACTATTATTCCCATAGGAAAAGTTAGTGGAACTATTCAGTGTGAAGAACATAGACCAATTGGTTGGTACCAGCATATGAAAAACTTCTAGAAACGGCAGTTAATATCCAGGTTCGAGATTATGTGAGTGCAAGCAATATTATTACAAACTGTCAAGCATGTTTCCAAAGTGGTCACTTATGTGAAAGTGCTCTACAGTCAATGATATCTAACTGGAAATCTTCATTAGACAACAAAAAAATGGTGGGCGTGGTTTTCTTGGACTTTCGCAGAGCATTTGAAACTGTTAACAGAGAATTACTAATTGGGAAGTTACAAAGGTATGGCTTTCAAGGTAAAGTCCTAGGTTGGTTTTCACAATACTTGGAAATGAGATCTCAAAAAACCAAATATTTAGAATCATTATCTGAATCTAAGATAGGGTACTGTGCTAGGCCGAGAATTGTTTTTGTTGTACATAAATGACATTGTTAATATAATTAAGAAGTGTGAAATTCAACTCTTTGCAGACGACACTATGCTTTTTGTTAAGGGTGATTCAGTGGACGATATAATAAACTTTTTAAACGAAGATTTAAATAATATATATAAATGGTTAAACAATAATAGTTTAAGTGTGAATATAAATAAAACTAAATGTATGATATTGAAATCTAAGCATAATGTAACTACCACATACAATAACAAAGGTATAGTAATTAATGGTAGTAGACTAGATCAAGTTGATGAATGTAAATATTTAGGAATAATTATAGATGAAAATTTAACGTTTTCAAAACATGCAATTTATATAACCAAAAAGCTATCAAAGAAAGTGAATTTATTCTGTAGAATGGGAAAAGACCTGAGTGTCTGGGCTAAATTAATTTATAAGACGATAATCCTACCACATTTCAGTTACTGTGCAACAATCTTGTATATGTTTAAGAAAGGTGATATCGATATTATTCAAAAAAAACAAAACCAGGCATTGAGAAGTATTTTGGGATGGAGAAGATACGGTAGAATTAAAGACATGCTGACATCTACAAATTTATTAAGCGTAAGCCAGGAGATCTTTTATAACAGTAGTATACAAAATAAGGAATGGAATGTACCCAGAGCATATTATTAACTTTTACGTGTCTCGGGTACAATCTTCCTTTGCCCAAAACAGCTTATTTTATAAGGGCCTTGTAGATTTTAATAGGATTCCAGAAGAAATTAAAACTACAAATTTTGTTAACTTCAAAAGGCATTTAAAAAAATATGTAATAGGATATTGTAGTTTATAAGTTTATATCCAAATGTTTTCTCTGTTAGCACATTGCTACGAAATAAAGGTCATTCATTCATTCAGTAGTGCAGAGATTGTGAAATGTTTAGTGCTATTGGAGAAAAAATGTTTCTCTACAACATGCTT